AATTAATATTTATATTTATATTTTTAATGAAAATTAATTAATATATTCATTAATTAAAAATATATTAATTACATTCTTTACTTATATTCTAAAAATATAAAATAAAAAACTCTTATATTTATAATATTACATAACATTATAAATAACATATAAGATATTCTTGGCATTACTATTTTCTTTTCCTGAGAGCAATGGTTGGACCTTCTTCAATTCACCCCTCATACATGGTAACAATAACAGCAGAAATATTCCCTCATACCGCACCAAAAAAATTTCATCATCAATTTTTTTTATATTCAGTCTTCTTCGATGCAGGCTTTGTTTTGTATCGTGGTGCGCCATTTTGAAATTTCATATACAGCAATCAACTTTGAATTTTTATGGCAAATTGTGATGCTTTTCTATCTAACCACTTACTGCTTCAATATTTTGGCTTAAATTAAACGGAATAGAAATAAAGTAGGAGCAGAGCATTAAACCCTAGACGCCTCTCTCATTTCTGCGACGCCCACAGCAAGGAAACGCAGCGGCCGCTGCACTCAGTCAGGAAGGTAAAGACAGAATGGTGTCCGGGTCCGGGATCTGCGCGAAGAGGGTGGTGGTCGACGCTCGGCACCACATGCTTGGGAGGCTGGCGTCCATTATTGCGAAGGAGCTGCTCAACGGGCAGAAAGTGGTGGTTGTGAGGTGCGAGGAGATATGTATGTCGGGTGGGCTAGTGAGGCAGAAGATGAAGTATATGAGGTTCCTCCGTAAGCGCATGAACACCAAGCCGTCTCACGGCCCCATCCACTTCCGCGCTCCTGCAAAGATCTTTTGGCGCACCGTTCGTGGGTATGTCTAGTATATTTTAGTCTTCCTTGTTTCTGGTTGATTGGTGAATGTATTCAGTATATGGGTATTTGTGGTTATGTCAACAGAAGTTTGTGGGATGGTACAGCCGCAGAAATAAAAAGAGAAAAACCAGCAACCTGGCCGATGCTCTTAGGTGAGTTTCTGCAGCCAAACTATGCTATTTATGATCTTTTTTAATCACGACAACGTATATAAATAATTAAAAATTTTCACTCCTGTTCTCTGCTCCACAGCGGTGCTCGAAATAGGCTGCAGGCAGTTGCTCTTCTTTTCTTCCACTTAAAAGATCTAGCCAAAAAAAAATTGCAAGCATGGGCAAACAGAGCATTGTTCATTGTTCGTGAGTTCGTTCTGCATTGTTTCATGGGTTTCTTTCCTGAAATCCTATGGTTGTTTTTTCTTTCCCTAATTTTTCTTGTTCAACGTTGAAAGAGCAGCATCCTGAATGAGGATCATTGTTGTATTATATTTATATGAATTTAAGACTATTGGTTTCTTTTAATAAATGAAATCTATTTATGCATCTTCTTAGTGGTTCTGGTTTGCTTAAATAAGACTACGCTGCTACAAATAATCTAGACAATGTCTGGTCTTTTACTGCCATCTACACAAAAGGGATCCATCCCCAACTCTGGATTCCCATTTCTGGGGTAGGCTCCTTCAATCTCCCTTCTTATTAGTTACGATGTTGAATTCATTCCATTGCTTGGTAACATTTTGGATGGACAACCCCATTACTTGGGGTTAGGTGTTGCCAATGCCTTAAATGTTGGGATAGCATAACCACAAAAAAAGAAGGGAAAATATTGAAATTCGTTGGCACTCCGGTCTTTATTTTTTGACATTTTAATTACTGGTGAAAGACGGTAAACATTTGACTCTTAAGAGATGATGAACACCTACAAAACAAACCAGCATTAGAGCTTAGTGAGAGATAAGAATTGTTCTCCGGCATTCAATGTAAGATATGAATTTTTAAAGAAATACTAGGGAGATGTGGGTGAGAAGAAAGCTGGAGGAAGAAGATTAATTTGAGAGAGGCAGGGACAGTTTGTGTGAGAGAGTATGAGTGGAGATTTTTCTTAAAATCTAACACTTTAAAAGGTATTTTAACAGTTAAATTATACTATTTTTTCATTTAAAATTTAATTACACTATTTTTAAATATAATAATAAATATTTTATAGAGATAGGTCATTAACCCTCTTACATCATCTTGGGTTGAT